TATGATTCGCTTTTCTTCCAAAATTCGCCGGTAGGAGGACATGCCCGACCTAATCCTGGACCCCCGGGCCTTCTCTTCGGGCCAGCTCTTCATCTCGGGGGTCCCCACCCTCGACTACACGTAAGAGTGGCCCTTCGCCGGAGTGACCTTTGGTGCGCGCTCGGTTTGAAAGTAGCGTCTTTCGCGCTTGTGTTTGGCCTCCTCGCGCCTCCAAAAAGCCGCGCGCCAAAGGTCACTCCTGCCCAGGGTCACTCTTACGTGCAGCCGACACACGTTGCGGTGACCACACGTGTACAGGGGATGCGGGGTGAGCGCACGGCTATGGGACTCTGGGCGAGTTTCTCCGAGCAATTCTCGTGCACACGGAGCCTCCAAGATCCCCAAACCGTGCAATGACGGTTCGTGCGGTGAATTCTTCTGGGATTCCGGGGTCACGCATTGTCTGTCCACCACACCGTTTTGGGACCCCCACTCATCTTGAGCCGATGACTGATTGTCCCCGGGAGCCGGGATACGAAACACTTGCAGCACCAGTTGCTGGCAAGATTTATGTCCATATCCAGTGCGCCTTCGATTTTTTTGGAAGGGGCGCCACAAGGCCGAGGTGCACTGGACATGGATAAAAGTCGTGCCCCCAGGGGGGCAAAATTCATCCACATCCACCGGCAGGACCAGTCTCTCTCGTGGCGAAGCCTCGGCCTCCTTCCAGCTCCCCGCGCGCCCGGCGCCAGGCGGCCTACCAGGCTATCACAGGCACCATTCCGCTGGGCGCGGTCGCCACGGGTGCCGTGCTGCCGGAGGCGCCGGCGGCGCGCCGAATTAGCAAATGGAGGGACGAGGATCCGAGGCGGGGAGTTTATCCACGACCAATGCTTGGAGGATGGATCTTCGGGGAGCTCGGCAGGCGATGGGTATGGATATATTCGGGCCCTGGGGGGGCACATATACTCCAGATTTCGTAATAAAAGGGAGGGGTTCTGGACCCTTCAAGACAAGCCATTTCATACCTCCCCCGTGGGAGAACCCTCCAAAACATCGTCCCCAGACCCCCCAGGCCCTCCAAGATAGCCTGGAAGAGACCCCCCCCCGAAATGAAACCCCCCTCCCATTATTACGAAATCTGGAGTATCCATATCCGCCACCTACCGAGATCCCAGAAGATGGATCACACAGGCGGTGGTCATGGAGAAGTCCCCGCTTCCCAGAGTCGAGGACCGAGGATTAGATCGGAGCCCCGAGGAATCAGAGCAGGGCAGTGTCAGGGGTAATCAACTGCTGATTCGCGCCTCCCGTGTGTGTGTGCATCAGGCTTTTTCCTGGGCCTGGCACTCTTCCCCGTGTTCCCTAGATTACAGTCGGGTCGCTGAAGAAGGAACTCTTTTCGTTGGGGAGGGGCTCCGTGTTCCTTAAGTGTTTCACAGCTTGCCTCAGGTTGTCCTGGTGTTTCGACGGGAAATCGAAGTTTGACCAATGGAAAAGAGGGGCCTCGTTCCTTATTTAGGGTTCCTTAGGTCAACGCCCCGACTGTAGGCCCTTGATTCGAGTGCACATGAGTGCGCACTCTGTCTACGAGTCCTCTGGCGCAGGAGCTGGCCCATAACCTCGCTTACAGGGCTGTCCAGATCGCACACGGAGAACGCCAAACGGGGCCCTAACCAGACCAGGCCCACCCAGGATCATTCGGTTGTCCAGGGGACGCGCTTCGGAGCGTCTTGGGGCTTGCGGCCTGTTTCAGCGAGCGAGTCCTCTCTTTTGACCCTTTTCCCGACAGTCCTGTGGTGTTGGGCCCTCGTTTTGGAGAGATCGGCCCCGCGTCTCCTCGTCCTTCTTCTCCCGCTCATCCCTCATGCCACACCTTGCCCTTGCCTCTGCCCTCACTTTGACACACCCCTCACACGCTTTGTGGCCCCATAGGAAGCTCCACTGAAGGCCCCCGTGGCATGGTTCGCATGCCCCCCCTCCACTTTGACACACCCCTTACACGTTTCGTGGCCCTATAGGGAGCCCCACTGAAGGCTCCAGTGGAACGGTTCACATGCCGTGCCCCCTCCGCTTCGGCACTCCCTCACACGGTTCGTGGCCCAATCGGGAGTTCCGCCGAAGGCCCCAGTGGCGTGGTTCGCATGCATCCCACCCCTCCACTTCGGCACACTCCTCACACGCTTCGTGGCCCTCAGGTGGAATTCCATCGAAGGCTCCAGTGGCATGGTTCGCATGCCGCACCCCCTCCACTTTGACACACTCGTCACACGTTTCGTGGCCCTATAGGGGGCTCCACCGAAGGCCACAGTGGCATGATTCGCTTGCCGCCCCCCCCCCTCCCCCAGTTTGCCACACCCCTCATACGTTTCGTGGTCCCACGGGGACATCCACCGAAGGTCTCAGTGGCGGTGTTCGTATGCGTTTTCCCCACCCTGTACAGCGCTTCGTGGCCCCATAGGGAGCTCCACCGAAGGCCTCAGTGGCGGTGTTCCCATACGTACCTTCCGCCAAGTGTACCCCATAGCGAGCTCCACCGAAGGCCCCAGTGGCGATGTTCGCGTGCAATGCCCCCGTCCAGTACATCGCCGCGTGGCCCCATAGAGACCCCACCGAAGGCCCCAGTGGCGGTGTTCGCATGCGTTCCCCCCACCCAGTACAGTGTTTTGTGGTCTTATAGGGAGCTCTACCGAAGGCCCCAGTGGCGGTGTTCCCATGCGTATCCCCCATCCATGACAATGCTTCGTGGCTCCATAGGGGCCCCAGTGGCGGTGTTCGCATTCGTTTACCCGACACAGCACGATGCTTCGTACCCACATATAGGGAGCTCCACCGAAGGCCCCAGTGGCGGGTTTCGCATGCGTTCCCCCCACCCAGGACATTGCTTCGTGGCTCCATGCGGAACTTCACCGAAGGCCCCCGTGGCGGTGTTCGTATGCGTTTCCTCAACCAATACAGCGCTCCGTGGCCCCACTGGGAGCTCCACCGAAAGCCCCTGCGGCGGTGTTCCTATGTGTTTCCACCAGCCAGTACAGCGTTTCGTGGCCCCCATCGAGCTCCACCGAAGGCCCCAGTGGCGGTATTCGCATGCGTTTCCCCGACACAATACAAGGCTTCGTGCATAGGGAGCTCCACCGAAGGCCCCAGTGGCGGTATTCGCATGCGTTTCTCCGAGACAATACAAGGCTTCGTGCATAGGGAGCTCCACCGAAGGCCCTGTGGCGGTGGTCGCATGCGTTTCCCCAGCGCAGTACAGAGCTTCGTGGCCCCATGTGGAGTTCCACCGAAGGCCCCAGTGGCGGCCCCGCCCCAGTGCGTAGGGCCCCAGTGGCGGCCCCCAATGTGGAGCTCTACCGAAGGGCCCAGTGGCGGTGTGCGCATGCGTCGTCCCACCCAGTACAGTGTTTCGTGGCCCCGTGAGGAGCTCCACCGAAAGCCCCAGCGGCGGTGTTCGCATGCGGTGTCCCCACCCAGTGCAGCGCTTCGTGACCCCATAGGGAGCTCCACTGAAGGCCTCAGTGGCGGTCTTCGCATGCGTTCCTATCACCCAGCACGTCGCTTCGTGGCCCCATGTGGAGCTCCACCGCAGGCCCCAGTGGCGGCCCCGCCCCACTGCGAAACACTCCTTATACGCTTCCCGGCCCCTCAGTGGGCTCCACCTAAGCCCCGGTGGCAGCGCCCACATGGCGGCCCAGATCAGCAGACCCGTCGCATGCTTCGTGGTCCCAGGAGGGGATCCCCCGAAGGCACGGCGTTCGCAACTGCATGTGGTTGGGCCCTTCGCCAGGATGGTCTTTCCCCCCCCCCCGCCCCCCCCGAACAGCGTGACGCAGGTCCGAAGGGGACGTCACCGATGTCAGCGTTTTGGCGGAACATCCTCCTTGAGATGGCGGCCGCCTTCCGGGCCTCCCCGGGCCTCCGCCCCCGGAAGCGCGGGGGGCCGCCCCCTCCTCCTCGCCGCGGCCCAATGGCACCGACGCGCACCTGTTGTATGGAGGGCCGTGCTCTGTGAAGAACAGCGAGAGTCGGGTCGATCGAAATGGTTACGGGAAGAATTGGTACGCAACAGCAGTTCTTATCCATTTGAACAGGACTCGCTGTCCGCGCCGCCGCGGGCGTTGCACTCTGCAAACGCAAGAAGCCGCCGGCCCACCAGCGGCCGCGGTCGGTTTTGGACCACAGATCTTGCTGGGCATGTTGCCCATTTTCTCTGTGCTCGTTCTGGGCGTCTAGAGTTTACCAGCCTCGAACGTATCCCTATCCCTAAGATTGACACGCCAAAAGGCGATGACAATCTTAGGCATTCGCCCTCAAAAAATCAGGGAATCCCTAAGATTGGCATCGTGATGAGGACATGCCCAGCATAGGGATAGGGGTATGTTCCAGGCTGGTAAAGAGTGAAAGTCTGGTTCGAGACAGGTGATCCCTACGGTTGCCGGGGCCCCTCATGTCGAGCGGTGGGGCCTCAGGTCGGGCTGGGGGGCGCTTCCGGTCAATCGAGACCGACCTTGCCCATCGAAGCTTCCTGGCAGCCTCCGAATGATGTGTCGGCGATCGCCCGGGTGATCCGCTGGGGGAGCAGGAGGTGCTAGCCGACAGCCAATCCTGCGACTGGACGTAAGAGTGACTTTTCGCCAGAGTGACCTTTGGTGCGGGCACAGATGGGTCCCCAGATGGCTGAAAACGCAGCGGTAGCAGCGTCTTGCGCGCCCAGGTTTGGTCCCCCCGCGGCCCCCAAAAAGCCGCGCACCAAAGGTCACTGTTACCCAGGGTCACTCCTGCGTATAGCCGAATCCTTATCGGTTCGGGCAGCCCCACGTGTGCCCGCGCGCACCAGCACGAGGGCCCCGCCATTGCGGATGAGCGTACATGCTGGTTGTCGAAAGCAGGTCTTCTGGGAGTCCCAGATCCCAATCTACTCTAGCTCCTCCTCCTCCTCTTCCTCCTCGTCCTCTATCTCTTCCTGCTCCTCCTCCTCCTGCTTCCCCACTCCCTCCGCCCCCTCCCCCCCCCCTGCTCGAGGAAGCGATAGACCAGTTCCGCCAGCAGTACCCCATGGACGAGCGCGCCTACGACTACCTGAGGACCTCCCCGCCGGAGGCCGCTCTCGCCCCCCGCGGCGCCGCGCCGCGCCGCGATGCGGAGCTTCCGGCCGAGGGGCGCGGACTCCCATGGCAGCAGCAGCTTTTTCGTCTGCTCCAGATTTCGTGACAAAGGGAGGGGGGTCTCCTTTCGGGGGGGGGTCCCTTCCAGGCTATCTTTGGGGGCCTGGGGGGTCTGGGGACGATGTTTTGGAGGGTTCTCCCACGGGAGAGGTCTGAAATGGCTTGTCTTGGAGGGTCCAGAGCCCCTCCCTTTTGTTATTACGAAATCTGGAGTACTGTTTTGCCAATCGGCGCGGGCCCCCGTCCCCTTCCATATCCTAGAGGAACAAGAAGTGGCACAAACCTAACAACTCGGAGGTCCGCGCGGAGTTCTCGGATCGGCGCTGGGGCCCCCCGGCGGCGCCTCCGGCGCCGCCCCTGGCGCGCTCCGCGCGCCAGGGAGGGGGGGTCCAGCGCCGGTCCAAGAAGTCCGCGCGGGCCTCCGAGTTTTTATGTTTATGATTTATATCACTTGTTGTTCCTCTAATTCCCTTCACGAATAGACCAGATCTTTGCTGCTATTGGAGGCTAGCTCTTTGGGCGACTGGTCAGGACCCGTCCCCCGCAAGTCTGCGTGCGCGGCTGGTAGAAGCAGATCGACGAAGCACCGGCCTTGACCCAGGCCCGCCCCCCTCCCCCACCCTTCGCCCAAATATCTCGGGGGTGGACAGACCTCCTACCCTGACACGTCGATTGAGGAATTGGCCGTTTTCGGTTCGCGGGTCCAGGCCCGTCGGTTTCGGTCCCAGGCCGTTTTCACTAGGGGGAGGTTTACTAAAGGGAGGTTTCACCCTTCGCCCAAATTTCGAAACTCAGAATAAGAAGCGCCTACCCTCGGGCTCCCTACTTGCGCCAAAAGTACTTGGATGGGCCCAGCGGGGTTTCACCACGCTGCCGCCCGTTGCCGCCTCGTGCGCTGCGTGGGTCCGGCGAGGCTTCGCCAGGTTGCCGCCCGTTGCCGTTTCGTTGCCGCCTCTAGTTTGCACCGCGCATATTTCAGTACAGAGTTGTTCGCCACATAGCTTGCACCGCAGAGCTTGCTCAACCACGTTGCAATGACATCTTGTTTGGGGTCCACGCTGGCTAACGTGGGAGCGTGCAGTGTCAAGGGAGCGTCGACAGAGTCGAATGTTGCATGTTCTTGCGACGGGCCCCGTGATATTACGAACTTTGGCGGGCTATTACGATTGATTAAACAACCGTTAGGCCAGAGTAGGCTAGATTCAGCCTGGGATGAAGCCGGATTGAGTGGGATAATGCTGGATTCCAACCAAGGCTCCACCTGTGTCGATGTTCAGTTTCATTCTTGACGCTTCGCGAACCCCTGGAAGCCCATCCAAGACCGACGCCCGGGCGGGTTGAGACGATCATGGAAGGGTAGGAGCAACATTGGGGGACAGTCATTATCGAGGGAGGAGGAGGAGGAGGAGGAGGAGGAGGAGGAGGAGGAGGAGGAGAAGAAGGAGGACAAAGAGGAGGAGAAAGAGGAGGACGAGGAGGAGGACGAGGAAGACGAGGAGGAGGAGGAGAATGAGCAGGAGGGAGATTTTGCCGCTGCACTGCCAGACGGAGACCACACAGGACTGGTCATACATGCGGTGCTGCCCGCGACACCGCACAGGACTGGACATCCATGCGGTGCTGTCCGCACCAATGCGGGTCAACTGTCAGGGCCCTGCCCCCGTGGCAAGACAGGAGACATGCCCGACCAACGTGCGCGAGACAGGGCACGCAAGGAGGCCGTGCTCCGCGTGCCCTGCTCGGGGTAGGGGGCGCCGGAGACCGTGCTCCAGCGCCCAGCCTACCCACCACCCACAGCGTGGGTGGCCGCGGCGACGAGAGCTCCACTTATACCCCGCCGAACCAGGCGGCGCCGACCGCCCCACTGGCTCCGCCAGTGGGGGGTGCCCCGGCTATCCCCGAGTCGATGACGGGGCCCCTGCTATCCAAGCAGGGGGGGGCAGAATGAGGAGGAGGAAGAGGAGGAGGAGGAAGAGGAGGACGAGGGCGAGCCGTCTGGGGCTCTTGCATGCCCCTCGGCGTCTTTGCAGTGCCTCTCGGCGTCTCCCAGGATGTCTCTTGAGCGCTTTTGCATGCTTCTTGGATCGTCTTGGGAGTGTTGTGGCGGTTCCGAGAAACTCATGGGTGACTCATGGGGCGTCTTGGATGCGTTTTGGAAGCTTTTTGGGAGGGGGGGGGGGGGGCATTTCTTTGGGGGGCTCTTGGAAGCGTCTTTGCCCAGGAGGGTTGCCCTGATCAGGGAAGTGAGGGAGCGTAGCGGGGAACAAAGGACTCGGGAAGCCATCTCAACCCGAGAGGGGAGAGGATGGCGGAGGAATTGGAAGAGGAGGAAGAGGGGGAAAAGGAGGAGGGAGGACAGGGAGGAGCATGATAAATAGGAGGATGAGGAAGAGGAGGAGGAGGAGGAGGAGGAGGAGGAGGAGGAGGAGGAGGAGGAGGAGGAGGAGGAGGAGGAGGAGGAGAGGAGCAGGAGGAGGAGGAGGAGGATACGGACCAGGAGGAGGAGGAGGAGGAGGAGGAGGAGGAGGAGGAGGAGGAGGAGGCGGAGAGGGAGGAAGGAGGAGGATGAGGGAGTACGAGGAGGAGGAATAGGCGGATGAGGAGGAGATGGAGAAGGAGGAGGAGGAGGAGGAGGAGGAGATGGAGAAGGGCAGCCCATCCAGAGACGATGCCCACACGAGCTGCCGCGATCAAGGAAGTGGGGTAGCATACAGAGGAGCACAGGGATGGAAAGAGCGTCGTACCTAAAGAGGGGGGAGAAGGAGGAGGAGAAGTCAGAGGAGGAGGAGGAGACAGAAGGAGGAGGAGGATGAGGAGGAGGAGGAGGAGAAGGAAGGAGGAGGAGATCGTGGAAAACGACGAGGAGTAGAAGGAGGAGGAGGTGAAGGAGGGGGAGGAGTCAGGAAGGATGCGGAGGAGAAGTGAGCGGATGATGATGATGATGATGATGATGATGATGATGATGATGATGATGATGATGATGATGATCATGATGATGATGATGATGCTGATGCTGATGCTGATGCTGATGCTGATGCTGATGCTGATGCTGATGCTGATGCTGCTGATGCTGATGCTGATGCTGATGATGATGGTGATGGTGATGGTGATGGTGATGATGATGATGATGATGATGATGACGATGACGATGATGATGATTATGATGATGATGATATGATGATGATGATGATGATGACGACGACGATGATGATGATGATGATGATGATGATGATGATGATGATGAGGAGGAGGAGGAGGAGGAGGAGGAGGAGGAGGAGGAGGAGGAGGAGGAGGAGGAGGAGGAGGAGGAGGAGGAGGAGGAGGAGGAGGGGATTTGTTTGTAGGAGGAGGAGGAGTGCCAAGGCTAAACCAGGTGCCGTCTGCGCGGCTGTCAGTCCGCGCCACCGTCGCCGAAGGGCGACTCCCTGCCCGCCGCCACTCGAGCCCTCGCCCAGCGGGCCGCTGCGGCGGGCGAGGCGAAGCCGTGGAGCTCCGCCGCCTGCCAGGCGTCCGCCACGACTGGCCGCAGCCCCCAGCGCGGCGGCCTCCCTGCTCCAGCGGGAGCGCCCGCGCCTGCCTCGCCGTCTGCGCCGTCGCGGAGCACCGCCGCGAGCCGCGCCTGCTCCTCCAGCGTGGATGGCTGCGGGGCCGAAAGCCTGGCCTTGCTCTTGGGCTCCTGGAGGCGCATCAGGAGCCGCCGCGCCTCCGCCGCCCTTTCTCCAGGGGCTGGCCGTCCCTTGCAGCTGCCCAGCAGGCCTGTCCCAGCAGGAGGGGACCGCTTCCAGAATCGGCAACCACACTTCATGCACCAGGCCACGGCCCCATCTCCATTCTCGAGGCGCGAGACGACGATGCAGTGCCCACGAACCTCCCGCGCCACTCCAGCTCCTGCAATCGCGGCCTTCAGCTCGGGAGCGGCCACAGCCGCCTCCGCCAGCTCGGCAGCCGCAGCAGCGGCGGGCGCCTGGCCATGCACCTCTTCAGCAGCAGCCCCAGCAGCAGCGCCAGGCGCCTGGCCGAGCTCGAGGTCGGCCTCGAGCGCCAGCGCCGCCACCTCCGCGTCGGCCTGCTCCGCCGCGTCCAGCGCCTCCTGCGGGATGTCGTAGACGAGGTCGGCCGTGCCCACGACCCCGTCTGAGTCCAGCTGCTCTCGGTCCACCATGGTGGCGGCCAGCTCGCCAACCCAGCGCCCGAGCTCCTCCACGCGCCAGGCACACGCCTGGAGGAACCAGACCAGCTCCCCGTCAATCGGCCGCAGCGCCGCGCCTCGCTTGGCCCACAGGTCAGCTGCCCTGTTGCCCCTGATCAGGAGCTCCTCCTCCCAGGTGGCAGCTGCCGAGAGCTCCTTGTGCGCCTTGACCTTCCGCACCGTGGCCGTCGGGCCTGGCCCAGCCCACCACTCCTGCCAGAGGTGGCGGCGCGCCTGCAGTGGCGCGAGGGCCTTGCCCTGCGAGAGCGCCAAGCCGACCGTGCCCGCGCAGTCGCAGAAGACCTCGAGGCCCGAGCCATCGGCCGACGGCAACCAGGACTGGGCCAGCATGTGGAACGCGTAGTCCTCGCCGTCCCTGGCCTCCTGCTTGGGCCCGCACGCCCGCGGGACGACGCCGTGCATCCCGCCAATGACCTCCCCGCTGAGGCCGATCTGCACGACCGCCCACCCTGCGCGGCGGGCCCCGCGCAGCGCAGGAAACCTGGCGCTGCCGTCCACGAAGACCCTGCCCTCGAACTTCGAGCCAGGCGGCACTACAAACCAGCGCGGGGCCGCGAGCGTGGCGCCGGCCGTCGCGGGGAAGGCCAGGGCGGGGTCGGGGCACAGCGCCCGCGCGAAGAGCTCCGCCGCAGCGTCCCCGCGCTGCGCCACCAGCCGCGCCCCCTCCAGCAGCTCCCGCGAGCACGCATCCCGCCGCAGCACCTGCCAGGCCTCGCACTCGAAGG